ACAGCTTCTATGAAGATTCTTTGGAATGGGGAGGAAAGCGCTGAATTCAAGCCATCAAGAGGTCTAAGGCAAGGGGATCCACTCAGTCCGTACATTTTTGTTCTTGCCACGGAAAGACTTGGACAACTAATTAAGTCAAAATGTGAGGAAAGAAGATGGAAACCGTTGAGATTCAAACGTACAGGACCATGTGTCTCTCATCTGTTTTTCGCGGATGACCTTATACTCTTTGCTGAAGCCTCGACAGATCAGATGATGGTAATAAAGCACGTCATGGAGAGCTTCTGCCTTGCTTCAGGACACCGTGTGAATCTGGAAAAATAAAAAATGTTGTGTTCTCGTGATGTCAACCACAACAGGGCCCTGGAACTGAGCCAAATCTTGGGCATTGGGCTCACAGTGGATCTGGGAAAGTACCTAGGAGTTCCTCTGATACATAGCAAGTTCACTAAACGGCTTTTCTCACCTATTACCCAAAAGGTACAAAAGAAACTCTCATCATGGAAAAGCCGGTATCTAAGCTATGCGGGGAGGTCAGTTCTCATAAAGGCGGTGCTGAATGCCATTCCTAGCTACCAGATGCAGACACAGCTCCTCCCGAAAGGTGTGATAGGGGACATAGAAAAGGCAAGTAGGAGATTCTTGTGGAGTCAGGATACAGGAAATAGGCGAAGCCATTTGGTATCATGGGACACAATCACTGAAAAGAAGAAGAGTGGGGGACTGGGTTTCAAGAACCTACGCCAACAAAACGAAGCGTTTATCATGAAGTTGTGCTGGAGCTTAATCACCAAAAGAGATGCCCTTTGGACTCGGGTCCTCAGAAGCAAATATAGCTGCGGGAATGATGAAGTCCCCGGAGTTTACTACAAGAGAGTAGCCTCGATTACCTGGAGGTCCATAGTTAAGGTGTGGGAAAAATTTATTCAAGGCGTGGGGAAGAAAATTAACAGTGGAAGTAATACTGACTTTTGGTGGGACTTGTGGACCCCATTGGATCGCCCCCTCATAGCATATACAAATGGGTGTTCGGGTTTGGATATCAGAGCAAAAGTCAAGGACTTTACCCTCGAAAACGGTACCTGGGCGGTGCATAAGTGGCAGGGAGTACTACCGGCTAGTATCATATCGATCCTCCTGCGTATTAAACCACCCTCAAACAATACCAAGGATGTGTTCATATGGAGACCTGCTACGGATGGGAGTTTTTCTGTCAAGTCAGCGTATGGATTTATAAGTCAGAGGCAGGTGTCGTGGAGGGATCGTTGGTGGTCTAAACTCTGGAAGTGCCGTGTATTAGAAAGAGTAAAATTCTTCTTATGGCAAGTTTCTCATGAGAGAATAGCCACTAACTCATTCAGAGCTCAACGAGGGATCTCAAACACATCAACTTGTCCTTTTAATTGCCAAAGTGAGGAGAGCGTTATACATGTTTTGAGGGACTGTGAGAGAGCGAAAAACTTCTGGCTATCTTTAATTCAACCTAATTTTGTTTCTAGATTTTATGCTCTTAACTTGCAGGAATGGCTTTCTTGGAATGCTACACAAGATCCAGCTAACGTGAAATTCTCAAAGTGGGATTGGCTTCAAGTGTTCATGCTTGGATGCTGGTTACTCTGGACTTCCAGGTGCGCGTATGTCTTCGAGGGCAAAACAAAGAACACCAGGGAACTGATCCAGAGGTGCACATATCACTTGATGGAAGGCGTGATAAATCAACAATTTAAACATGACATTTTCAAGGTATCCACTAAAGCGGAAACCAGATGGACCCCACCTCCAATAGACGCCATTAGACTAGATGTGGATGGCTCTGTACGGGAACATCAGGCTGCTGCTTGCGGGGGAGTGATTAGAGATCATGAAGGGAGTTGGCTCATGGGTTTTCAACGGAACCTGGGCTGCTGCTCTGTTATGGAAGCCGAATTAATGGCTATCCAGATGGGCTTACGAACGTGCCAGCAGATGGGATTTTCCAGGGTTATGCTTTACACGGACTCACTAGAAGCTTTCAACCTATTGATGCGAAACCATGTTGAAGAACATCCTTTGAGAAACCTCATCACAGATACACGAGAGCTGATCTATGGGAATTGGTCCGTAGAAATGCACCATACTGGTAGAGAAATTATTAAGTGTGCTGATTTTCTAGCTAGGACAGGACACCATGACTCCTTTGATACGATATTACTACAAGATGTGCCGGCGGGATGCGCGAGGATAGTGTCTGACGACCAGCTTAGTGTCGAAGCTTGGAGCTAGCTGCTTCGTTTTCTGGGTTTTCCTGTTTCGTGTCTTGTATTCCTTTTAGTTTCTGTTGTTTTGTCTTCAAGCCTTGGCTTGTCTCTCTTTCCCAAAAAAAAAAAAAAAAGTGATTGGAACAATGAATTTGTTGATCCTACATTTTATGATTATTCTGTATTGGCTAAAAGTAAAACTATTCAACTTGTTTTTCAAGTATATGTTTTCTATGCAATTAAATTTTTTAATCCTCCGATATGCAATTTTTTAAGAAATTTTTAGCCCTTAATCTTTTGTGCATTCCTATAATAAACCTTACAAATAAATCATATAATAATTTTTTTAAGGAAAAAATTAAGGTGAAATAAGTTTTGAGCTTAATAGGAGTAGAGCAAGTCTTATGATTCATATTAAAATTTTTAATCCTTCAATATGAAATTTATAGTACTTAATCTTTGGTGCATTCCTATAATAAACCTTACAAATAAATCACATAATAATTTTTTTGAGAAAAAAAATTAAGGTGAAAGTTCTGAGATTAACTGGAGTAGAGCAAGTCCTATGATTCAAAGCATCCACAAAAGATACTCCTCCGGTCTTAAATATAAGACCCCTTTTGTAGTGTAAATTACACTACAAAAGGGGTCTTATATTTAGGACCGGAGGAGTAATAGATTTATATGTTAGTGACGTGAAAAGTTTCTAGATAAAAAGTTTTAGGTTCGATTCCATTTGTAACTTCAAGTTGTAAGTGTTTACATGTTCAAATAAAAAGAAAAAACACTCATAAAAAAGTAATTATATTACTCCCTCTGATCCACAATATTAGTTATTTTAACTAATTCATCAAAATAAAAAAATGGTTGTTAGCTCATTAAAATTGGGTCAAATTGAAATTTTTTTCCTCAACTTTACTCATATTAAATGAAGTTGTGTAGAAGAAAGAAAAACATAAGGGTATGTTTGGCTCAATGAGAGGAAGGGAAGGGGAGGGATTTTAATGGAGGAAAGGCGGGGAGAGGAGAGTGGAAGGATTTTAATATTATCTTGTTTGGATTTATAAAAAAAAAAGGGGAGGGGAGGGAAAAATATTTTAATATGGATAATTTTGCTCTTATTTTATTTAAGATATGGGCATAATAGTCACAACATGACAAAATATAGATATAATGGTCACAACATGACAAAATATGGATATAATGGTCACAACATGGCAAAATATTACCTTTTCTCTCCAAATCCTCCCCTCCTAAAATTTGTGTTACCAAACAAGGAGAAATGATTAAAATCCCTCCCCTTCCCTTCCAAATCTCTCATACCAAACACATCCTAAGAGGTTATATTTAAGCATTAATTGAGGGGATAAAATTGTCAAATAAGCATAATTATTCTCCAAGTAATTTATATTTTGGATCAATTTTTTTTAAAGAAGTGATCTATATTATGAATGGAAGGGCGTACATGCTTTTCATACCTTGTAAGATCTTTGAGATGCTCCTAGAGTAGGCCCCACAACTTCGTAGACCCCACACATCTTCAGTTTCAAATCAGGCCAGTATAAATTCTTTTCAACAAAGCAAAAAAGGTTTACTTGCATCCCTATCATCTTCACTTTGCTCTTCCCTTCCTCTCTGTGATATCATGACTAATCATGGCTGTGGCTATGGAGCCTCCCTCTCCAACCGCTCTCAAACATCAAAGGATTCATCCTTTGAATATAACTCCCAAAACTTAACCACACTATTCCAAGGAACTAGGCATCTTGTGGGTGGTAACACTGCAACCCCATTTGTAGCCCACACTATACAACCATCACCTTGCCTTGACCAACGCAACGTTGTCCACGGCGGCGGCCACTGTGGCGGTGGCACCAAAAGGAGCAACAAAGGTAATGGTAGTAACTATCCAAATATGCACAAAAAACTGAAACAACCAATGAAACCTAAAGGGAGGCCCCCTGGGTCCAAGAATAAGCCTAAAATAGACGATGAAGCTCTCAGACATGCAATCATTGAGATCTCTGTTGGGTGTGATGTGGTGAAGGAACTGATCAAGTTTGCAGAAATTCATGATGTAGGGCTTACTGTTCTTAGTGGGTCTGGTTCTGTAACTAATGTCCCTCTTGGCCCCACATTTTCCCAGCCACCTTCTTCTTTGATGACCCTCCATGGAACCTTCACTATGCTCTCCCTTTCTGGTACTTACATGAAGTCCCGTACTTCCCCTTATGCTTCGTCTTCTTCATCGTCATTACCGAACCCATCATCATCATCATTTCCTGTTGTCCCTTCTCCTGGATACTCTTATTTCACCATATGTCTTGCAGGAACTCAAGGTCAAATCTTTGGAGGAGTCGTCGCTGGACGAATCATAGCTGCAAGTCTTGTGGTTGTGGTCGCAGCATTATACAAGCAACCAGTGTTTCACAAAGTCCTAAACAATGAAACTAACAGTAGTCCTGTTGATTTCTCTGATGTTGACCCACTCAAGGGTGATAACGCTAGTTTTATGGCTTTGCTTGCTTCCTTCAATGATGCAAACTCAAGTCCTACACCAGTTGGAGAACTGATGTAAAAAGCCTTTTTTTGACTGGTATAAAAAGGCCTCTTTACATCGCACCATAAAATGTCAAATGTGAATGAAGTGTAATACAGATCTTCCTCCTAGCAAGATCTATGTTCAAGAATTACCTATATGCTGTTTTATGATTTTAATTTGAGACTTTGAGTTATCTTATTGTTAGAGAGAAGAGTATAAAAATGAACTATGGGCATTATGCTATTAAGGTGAAGTAAGTTGTCTTTCATGTTTCAATTATCTTGCATGCATGCATCCTTTGAAGTAAACTGAATGGGCATTTTCAATGGTTTCTTCTGTAGTTTTTTTTTTTAATTTTTTTATAATGCACTTGATGCTTGGTATTTGAACAGAAGTAATGTTGTGGTGATGGAAAAAATCAATTTTGGTATATTATGAATTGAACTTAGATGTTATCGAAAGGGAGTAATGAGCTGGTGATGATAAATTTATTTATTGCTCGAGTTACTTTTTGTCGGTTAGACTGTTACATTTGATCATATATCAAAAGAACTTAAGCGTTATGCTGATTTTTTTGGCCTATTGAGGTTATCAAATAGATGCTGAAATTGGCATCATCGATATTCTCACTGTAGAGTATAGGGCCATTTTTCAAAAGATTCCCAAAAAAATATACAACTTTTATGTGAATTGGATTTTTGATCTCTTTGGAGTGTTTGTTTTACATTTCAAAAAAAGTACTTTTAGCACTAACAAATGTTGATCTTGGTGAAAATAGCTTTGTTCGCTTAAGTATAAATCCTGAGCAAGTTTTGTAACAGTTACAAAAATAGTACAGTAATTTTAATTTAGAAAATCCTAGAGAATTTGTCTGATTTTTTTTTTTATAAATATATATTTTTGTCAATACTTCTTCTTTGCTGGGAAGGGCTCATTTACGATCTTCCATGCATATATTCCTATTTATCCGGATATTTCTAATATGTATCACACATATTAAGGAGTTTTAATTTTCCCCCCTAAATCTCATAAAAATTCACCTTTTTTCCAATTTTACCCTTACTCACAATTAACACTCATAATTTTCCATGCATAATCTTCTTCTCATAATCCTCTACCTAAGATATAAGTTTTCAACTATGAACTAATAAAGGAACAATGCAAAGGTTTAATTTGCTACCTAAATCTCTCACTCATACATCATCGCACATTCTCTCTTCGCTTAACAAGTAAATTTCTCTTTTCTTCAAAAAAAAAAAAAAAGAAAGTCAAGATTTTGTTTTAATTCTTTTGGTTGGGTTGATTATGGGCAAATTTCTCAAAATACTTCCACGGGAATTATCTTATTTTGTTTACTTATCTGTTTTAGGGCATGTTTGTTTAAGTTTTTAATAAAAAAATTCAGATTATTTTAAAGAGTAACATTTGTTTAGCTCAACTTAAAATCTTTTAAAAGATTTATGATTATTTAATTTTCACATTTTAAGAAAGTAATAATTTTAAAACGTTAATTCAAATAGCTTATTAAAATAAGTTAAAAAATATTTTTAAAACTAATTATTATCTAATCACAAATATAACATGTACTACTATTTTCTTATGATAAGCTTAATTAAAGGGCTTTCAATTTTACGTGGTTTATTAACAGAAATAATAACTTACAACCTTTTTGTTGGATTAAAGATTAACTTACAAAACACACCTCACCTACAAGTGTTACTCAGATATCATGCATAACTAGCAACCTTTTACCAAACATCAAATTATAAATTTTGTGTATAGACGCATATTTCATAATCAATATTGCATTATTGCTTTTAAAAAAAAAAAAGCAGAACCAAAGAAGCAAAATAAATAAATATAAATGTCTTGTGACAATTTTTTGTAGGTTTTTAGTGCCTCTCTCTAGAAAGAGGAGGAAGTGGGTTACAACTGCCTACCAAACAAGACAATAAACAAATTAGAAGCAAGTCCAAGTTGACCGTGCGTGGGGCCCTCTTTTTAGGTCAAATGTTAGGATTGACTCAATTATTTCATAAACTGTGATTAATCATATTTGTGATTAAATTAAGTGATAAACTCTTATTAACTGGTAATTTAATTTTAATATTTTCATTCCACAAGTATTATTATGAAGTAAACACACATTAACCACATACACCATGCGCACTTCAGAATTTATTTATTTTTATTTCATAGTCACCTAAGAGATAAAATAGATAAATTTTAAAATTTACTCTAAAATTGAGTGACTTTATATATAAGGATAAACAAAATTATGATTATGATAGATTTTATTGATTACCTAGTTCTTCATGTAGGTATCTGATTTTATGGAAATTCCAGAGTGAATTAAGATGAGTAGAAAAATCTAGCAAGAATTTAAATAACCAATTGAAAATTCCAACTTCCCAGATAACCTACCTCTGCCAAACATTTCGTCACCAATATCATTGGAAGAAGTAACCATTTACACAGTCAAATCTGGTTGTTTCATCTTCCATATTAATTTCTTACTAAACTTCACCGATCTCCTCATGAATCTTCAATATCTTAATCCCATATTAAGCTCCAATTTCTGTGTCCTACACACAGAAAAACAAATCAAACAAGCACAATGGCAGCTTCATGCTTGAACCCACCCAGGTTATCAAGCACTGAAGATGACACTGTGATGCTCTTTTCTACCTCTAATTCTCCTCAAGACTCCATCTCCATCAGCCCTTCTTCTTCTTCTTCATATCATTCTTCTTCTTCTTCTTCTTCTGGTAATCATAAACTTTCTGTCAGTAATCTCTCTTACACTCTTCACCCATATAAAAACATACCCTTTTCATTCTTCCACATGCCTCAAAAGCCCAGGCCTCTCCATATACTCAAGTCAGTCTCTTTTGCAGCCAAAAGTTCTGAGATTGTTGCTGTTGTTGGTCCTAGTGGCACCGGGAAATCCACCCTTCTTCGTGTCATTGCAGGGCGTGTGAAAGACAAAGACTTTGATCCCAGAAGCATATCAATCAATGATCATCCAATGACAAGTCCATCTCAGTTGAGGAAGATCTGTGGGTTTGTGGCACAAGAGGATAATTTGCTTCCTCTTTTGACTGTGAAAGAAACCTTAATGTTCAGTGCCAAGTTTAGGTTAAAAGAAATGTCATCAAAGGATAGAGAAGTGAGGGTAGAGAGTTTGATCCAAGAGCTTGGGCTGCTTCATGTTGCAGATAGTTATGTTGGAGATGAAGAGAATAGAGGGATTTCTGGTGGAGAGAAGAAAAGGGTATCTATAGGTGCTGATATGATTCATAATCCTCCTATTTTGGTCCTAGATGAGCCAACCTCAGGCCTGGACAGTTCGTCAGCTCTTCAAGTGATAGAGCTTCTGTCATTTATGGTTAAGTCAAAGAAAAGGATAGTGATTCTTTCAATTCACCAACCCAGCTATAGAATATTGCGTTATATTTCTAGGTTCTTGATCCTGTCTAATGGTTCAGTTGTGCACAATGGTAGCCTGAAATCACTTGAGAAGACCATTACCAGGTTGGGTTTTCAGATTCCAATACAACTCAATGCTTTAGAGTTTGCCATGGAAATTATACACACATTGGAAGATTCAAAAAATTCCACATATGATAGTGACAATTGTCCCATGCAAGACAAGGAAGAAGAAACTGGTGACATTCATAATTATACAAGTGATGATAACATCAAAAGGATTTGCAGTGCCTGGTATTTGAGCTTCATTGAGATCTTGTTTCTCTGCTCAAGGTTTTGGAAGGTCATATACAGAACGAAACAGCTTTTCTTGGCCAGAACAATGCAGGCTCTAGTTGGTGGGTTTGGGCTTGGAAGTGTTTACATTAAGGTAACTATCCCAATACCTCACTGCTATTATTTTCTTTCTCTTTTTTCTTTTTGTGGGCCACAAGTTAGTCCGGAACTTTCCCAAAAACCGCTTTTGTTGCAAGGTGAGAGATAAATACATGGGGTGGGGCCAACACAATGGATGAGTGGATCCATCCACCCATATGTCTATCCATCTCCTTGTTTGTAGTATTGTGATGTAGGAAAGAGATAAAACCACATGACTTTGTAGGAAAGTCAGTATAATTTTCTTTGATAATTTGATGAGTTATCTTTTAAGATTTTATTTTGGTGCTGGACCAGGTGAGGAAGGATGAAGTAGGAGTTGCAGAAAGACTAGGCCTCTTTGCATTTAGTCTGAGCTTTCTGCTCTCTTCCACAGTTGAGGCACTTCCAATATACCTTCAAGAGAGATGTGTTCTAATGAAAGAAGCCTCAAGAGGAGCCTACAAAATTTCCTCTTACATGGTGGCAAACACACTCGTCTTCCTTCCTTTCTTGTTTGTAGTATCCATACTTTTCTCAGTCCCTGTGTACTGGATCGTAGGTCTCAACCCGTCCCTCTCAGCTTTTGCCTTCTTCATCTTCATCGTCTGGCTCATAGTGCTCATGGCAAGCTCTCTGGTTCTCTTCTTAAGTGCAGTTTCTCCTGATTTCATTTCTGGGAACTCCATGATCTGCACTGTGCTGGGAGCTTTCTTCTTGTTCTCCGGATACTTCATTCCAAAAGAGAGCATCCCCAAGTACTGGATTTTCATGTACTATGTGTCACTTTATAGGTATCCTCTGGATGCATTGCTCACAAATGAGTATTGGAATGTTAGAAATGAGTGTTTCTCAGAAGCAGAATCTAATTGCTTGCTCACAGGGTTTGATGTGCTTAAGAGTAGAGGACTTGATAAAGATACAAGATGGGTGAATGTGAGCATCATGATTGGCTTCTTTGTGCTATATCGTGTGCTTTGTTGGGCTATTCTTGCTAGAAAGGCTTCCAAAGCAACCATTTAAACATTAGAGTACTCATACTTCACCATAAAAGCAAAACCCCACGAGTGAATTCCTACTAATTCTTAAAGAGTTCTTAAGAGTTAACCAAATATCAGAAACACCTGCATATATAACACCTATATATATTCAATCTCAGGCAACTTTTATAGATTACATCTTCTAGAGCTGCAAATTGCCATTGTCCCATTTTCAATATTTGTATATAGAATATACAAATATATATATTTATATATGGTGGGTGTATTTAAGGGTTAGAGTGTGAAGATTGTTTGGAGGATCTGGTAGTGAGAGAAGGCTTCATCTGCACAATGTGTTCATCACTGACTCCCATCTTCATGGCATAACGCCCAGCCTCGAAGAAGCGTTTGACAGCATCTTCCATGTAGGCTTTACCTTGTTTCACAGTCATATCCTTCCCTATGGCTTGAGGGTAACTGGTGAAGATGTTGTCTCCTTTCAACACTGCTGCTAGCTGTATCAGCTCCTGCTGAAACTCACTCACCTTTGCTTGTTCATTTGGGCCTCCTTCTCTAATCTTCACTGGAGTTGGAAGTTTCTCTGCACAGTACAATTCCTTTCTTTAATATATCGTTCTCTTGCAATGATATGTGTATTTTTATCTTGATAGTTCAAAACATTTGGGTTTATATTGCTTAGCATAATGACGTTTGAAATTTCTCACAGCAAACAAGTAAATAGACTATCTACTACTTTCTTTTTGAATTTAGATTTAGATTTCCTGCAAGTTGAATTTGCCCAACCATCTCGGGCCATGAACAAATAACTGATCCTTGTATGGGAAATGCTGAATCATAAAAATGGAGAGACAAAGAGAAAGGGGTTTTGGTGGATCCTACATGTCAAGTGGGGCCTATGATAGCTCTCTATTTTTATTTTCCCTCTCCCCTTGTACTTCACATTGAACGTACTTTTTCTAAGTTCAATCATTCGACTCATAATAATCAAGATTCAAACAGCTTATATCAAATCAAGAATGAAAAACAGTGATGCATCAAGTAGCAGGTGAATTTGGTAACTTGAAGAGAGTGGGATATGCGTGATACCTGGGCAATCAGTTCTGGGTTGAGTTCTGGTCTGAAGAATGCCCTCAAAGGTGGCAGCCCATTGATCTCTTTTTGTGAGAAAGTTGGGCAGATTGTAGAGCTTCTTCACCGTGGCTATAATGGATGAGTGTTCATATTGTGATGTTGCAGTGGGTGACCCCTTTGCCCCATGAACAACTGCACCACCAGCAACAAGTTAAAAATTGTATTAAGGAATATATACATATAAATAAATCAAAGTAACCATATAGAAATAAATAAAGATGTCAGTAGTAAGTCCTGTATCTTAGTGCTTATATCTTGACATATCTCAAACTAAGTTGTACAGAAGCAATATAGAGAGGGACAAAAAGGAAAAAATGGACCTTTAAATATACTTAAGATGAGATAAATAAGAGATGGTTCTATTTTTTATGGAGACATGATTCTATCTAGGCCTTCTGAACCATTAGGTAGATAGTAAGAGATGATGAACATCACATGTTAAGTGGGACCCACGCATCCATCTCCTATGTTTCTTTCTTCACTCAAATGGTTTAGGGCCCTGAAGAGGATCCCTTTCACTTTCAGGAAGAGCCCATGATGTTGAAAATGAGACTCACAATTCTCTCTTTATCTCTCAGCATTTCCACTAAAGTATACTTCATGTGGTCTTATAGTCCCACAAAAGAAAGCACTTATATCAGGTTCACTCAGAAAAATCATATTAATTGAACATGTTTCTCTATACATTACACGTAAAAAATAACTAATAGTATTATTTATAATTTATAATTTATAAATAGCATAATTTAAATTAAAATATTGATAAGTGTAGTTTTGTCGACCAATTTGGTACAGAGAAGCGAGAGAATCATCCATTGTACTACAGATTAATCACATCTTATCAATGTCAATATTTAATTATGATGTAGACAAATAATCAAATTTCATCAATTCTGATGAACCTGCCTATCTAATGAGAGAATTACAATCAAGTTCCAAATAAAAAAATAATTATTAAAAAGTTTCAATAACAATCTAAGCAGTCTATAATGACAAGTTTCAGAGTATGAAATGACAACCTCTAAAATACTAATATGTATTATTAGATTATATATCCATTTATAAGTGAAATAAATTGATTTGGAGAAAAATGATAAATATAAACAATTTAAAGTAATTTAGTACTCTTTCAGTTTTTAATATATGACCTAATTATTGAATTGATTTTGGTTTTAAATGTAAGATCTATTAATATATTTATCAAGTTTTTCTAAATTACCCCTATTGATATTTCCTCAACCATAATCAAGTCGGAGAGGGAGGGAGAATATTAAGGAAAATAATTATAGTATTTTGAAAAAAAAAAGTCATATTTTTTATAATTAACTAGCTTACCTAACTTTTTTTTAATTTAGTCAAACTAGTTAAATAGGTTTTATATTAAGAATTAGATGAATACTAAATTACTTTAAATTGATTATATTTATCATCTTTCTTTACCCAATTTGTTTCACTAATAAATTGATATATAATGTAATGATACATATAAGTTTTTTGGAGAGATCATGCAATGCATGCTATAATTAAATAATTTAGTAACTTCTTTAATTTTTTTTTAAAATTAGTTAACTAAATTTTATATTAAGAATAGGAGGCAGAGGCACTAGTTTAAAATCAACATTCATTTCACAAATGTTTCATGATTATATCCTCTAGCAGAAGAATGAAAACGGGATAATGATTATATCCATTATCCGCAAAACGTGTTCACTTGTGTGTGTATGTGTGAATCAAGTATTGCGTGATTCCTTCCTGCAGCTAACTTGTTCTCATCAATTCTACCAAGTCAACCCATCCACTATTAATTTAATAGTAATATCATGCATTAATGCTCCATTGTGGCAAGTTAATTGCTTAATTGGGTCACCCAAAGTGGGCTCCACCAACAAACAAAGAAAAGAAGTAAAGCGGTCCAGCTAGTTTTCACACACTAATGCATGGGGGGTCCCACTATTCTTCTGGTCCTTTCTTTCTTATGAATTGGATTACGTGTAAGCTTTCTATTGGTTCATATGACCCCCATCGAAAGCCGCTCATAATCATTGAGCTGATGTCACACCTACGTGTCTCTACTCTCTAGATAGTGATCGTAGAATTGGGCGTATCTTTGTATTGTATGATTAAGATCATTGACTTCTGTTTTTCGATAATTGTAAGCATTTTAGGAATTGATAAATCTATTTAACTAACTACAAATATTTACTAAAACAAACTACAATTAAACCATATGATAAGTTCTATACTCCTAAAATATCCATAACATTAATACCCATTTTTTGTTGGCCCAAAAAATACCCATTTTTATAATTACAAGTATTCAAGATTATGTGCATATAATTTTTTTATTAAGAAAAATTATGGGACATTAAGAATTATGTAATTATAAAATTATTTACATATAATTTAAAAGTTTAAAAATATCTATATGTACTATCTCTGATCCTAATTATAAAACCTTATTTGTAGATTAGGATTAGGACCGGAGGTAGTATTTTAATATCATTTTGATTATTTTATCAAAAAAATGTATTTCGAATTTTTAAAAAATATGTATATTTTAAGAAATAAAAAAATTTAAAAAAAAAAAAAAGTAAATTGAAAGAGAAATACTTGCCTGTGCCTTTTTCTATCCAAGGTGAGATTGCGATGGTAGGAACTCTAACCCCCAGCCGGTCAAACTTAAAATAAAAGGGTTCGGGCCCCACAATCCCATCGGGACTGGGGACCCCACGTACTGGGGTTGGGACGTGATCAAAGAACCCTCCATGCTCATCGTACGTGATCACGAAGAGGGTTTCGTTCCACTGCGGGCTCGCCCTCAGCGTCTCGTACACCTCCTTCACGAACATCTGCCCTTGGTACACGTCATGCGATGGATGGTCGTCATTCGCTGGCAACAACTTAGTGTCCATGTACCGCTGCTCCACAACAACATAGCCCGGCAACTTCCCTTCCCTCGCGTGCTGCTTAAACGACAAGTCGTACGGGTGGAATTTCACTATGTGCTTAAGTTTCCTCAGGCTCCGATAGAACAATGTCGCCGGAATGTTCTGGTAGTATATTCCGAACGATATTCCGGCGTCGTCGAGGCTGTCGAAGATGGTTCTCTGTGGATATCCCCGTGCGAGCAGCGTCGAGTTGTTGCTCGTCGCTCCGGCCGACGTCGCGGAGTGAACGTAAAGGCGATTAGGCTGTGTGGAAGCCGGCACTGAGGCAAACCACCTAGCAAGTTAAGAGGTTAATTAACATCAATGATTAGCACATGATTTATCCTAATAATTACTTGTTTTTCCATTAATGATTTTAATTTGTATTTCATAAAGTTTAGCATAAATAAAGTACATGATATGCCTATCACACCAAGGAAGAAAATTCTTAGCCTTATAAAAAGTAATTAAATTGAATTATTATAACTCCTTGCGGATATCAAAAACAATTTGGATTTAAAAAAATTAGTTAAATACCACAATTTAAATTTTTTAATAAAAAATATCTTGTGTAACCAAACTTTTGTCATTGAAATAGGAGAGTATTTTGTAATAATAAATTATTATTTAGAGCCAAAATTAAACCAAATTATACTTGAAGAATTGGTTTCTTGAGAAACTAGGTCTAAACAATTTGATGTTAAACAGTTAAAGATTTATTGAATTTAACCAAACAAAAAAACCCCTACTATTTTCCTATTTATTACTCCTCTGGTCTTTAATATATGATCTAATTATTGAGATAATTTTGGTTCTAAATATAAGACCTATTTATCATATTTATCAATTTTTTCTAAATTATCCTTTTGGATACTCCCTCAACTATAATCAAGTAGAAAAAGGATAGGAGATATCAAAGAAGATGATTATGGTATTTTAAGAAAAACATGTCATATTTCTTATAATTAACTAACTTACTTAACTTCATTAATCTAATTAAATTAGTTAAACAGGCCTTATATTAAATATCGGATGAGTATATATTTAGGGTTAATAATTTAGACTAGATATAACATGCATGACGAAAAATGAGATGAGAATTTTTGTTTTTTTTTGACCAGAGATATGAGAATATTTATCAAAGAAGAAAGGCCCCAAGCACATAGAGAGTTGCCCAGCATATGTGATCAGTAGAAAATACGTAATGAAAATATAAAAATTAAACCAAAGAATTAATACAACTAAGATTTATTAATTACCAGAAAAAATGGATGCAGTAAATGATTTCATATCGTTTCTCGAGTTTGGATCGTGAGAAATTAATAATAAGATCGAGGAAAAAAAGGAAGAAGTAAAAGAAATAAAGTGAAGATTTTTCTCCAAAAAGAAATAAAGACAAAATGAACAAACTATTAATGGAGAGAAAACGGGGAACGGAACGGTGAACATCAAATTCGGCGAAGAAGACGAAGCAAAGCAAACCTGTCGAACAGAGCAAACTCAGAAACAAGAGCTTTGTAAACGGGGACCATCTCAGGGACGAAGCCGTTCATCACATTGCGGGACATGGCAGTGGTGTTATCCATGGAGTAAGCTTGCTGCGCAAATCCGTTCATCGGAGCCGGGTCCGCCGACGTATCCTCTGACCCGAATATCTGCTCTCTAATCGCCTGGAACGAGTGTCCCGGGTCCGGGTCCACGAACTGCGACTGGTTGCCGAAGAAGATCTGCTCCGACTTCGGGTCCTTCACCGACAGCGGGTTCGATTGAGACCCGTCGACGCCGTCGATTTCTGGATTAAGCTTCTTCATCCACCCCAGCATGTGATCGAAGGACCGGTTCTCCATCACCAGAACAACGACGGTTTTGATCGGATTCGCAATTGCATGGCCGGTGGGAGAAGTGAGGAGCAAGAGGTTGAAGACGAGGATGAATGTGGAGGAGAGAGTGTCGGGTCGGTCTCGGGTACCCATATCTCTTTGTGGTTCCCCGGCCACGGAGAAAAGAAACAAGAGACGAAGGAGACTGAAATGAAGAACAGAACGTATAGAAAGATAAATAAAGGTAGGTGGAGTCCGTGAGGGGGTTTTGTTTTGGATTTTCTTCGGGTGTTATATTTTGATTTAATTTTTTCTGTAAATAGAAAAGGAGATATTTTAACTTTATCCCATTTCAACTTTGCAGCTCGATACAATTGCCATATTCTATCCATAAATATAAAATTTGTCGAGTATATTAAGAAAAATAATTAAATTGATTATTTATTAAAAATATCTTATTAAATCATTTGGATTAAAATTATTTTTTAATGCAAACTCTCTTAACATATACAATTACCAGTAATATGGTTAGTTTGAATAAATAAAAAGGATAAAATAAATTGAGATCTTATATTGAAGACTACATTTAACCTCTTACTAGTTTTTATATTAAGAACCGGAAATATTATCTTTTTTGAATTTTTTTTAAAAGTAATTTTATGATATGTAAGATATAATTCATAATTTTTATTAAATTAAATATTACTAGTTAATGTAGCATAACCTATACTAGTACTACTTGAATTATACTCTTCTAGTTTTAATTATGAGACGCCGAGAGAGTTTTTTTTCTTTAATATAAATTATTTTATTAAATTTATTATATAAGCATATAATTCTGTCCTTGCTTTATTGGTATGTAAACTATTATATTATATATATATTTTTGGCAATATATATTATAAATAAGAGTAAAATTAAAAAATTATCAAGTTAAAAGTCAAATTAATAAGATTTAGAGTTTTTTTTTATTTCAATAAAACATGTTAGGAGTATTTCCTCTCATTCTTATTATAAGAATTCACTAATTAATTCACATGTACTAATAAAGCTAGTTAAAATTATTAAATTTGTTATAAAATTCAAGTGATTTCTAATATTACTGTCGTTAAATTATACTAAAATTTAACATCCTATTAATTTTTTAGAGAAAACCATTTTAGAGGCATCTATACTTTTTTTTTCAATTTTTAATTTGGTACCTATGTATTTTTTCTTAATTAAATCTTTAATTTTGCTCTATTAACATCATTAACCCTTATATAGAAACTAAAAATATCAATAGTGTTGTAAATAAAGAAGAAGAACAGAGAAGAAAGAATATCAATAAGAGAGAGTATTTCTCTTTCTATTCAATAGGGTACTGAATACATTGTACATGGCCTCTATTTATAGGCACGGCTTTACATCTTTGATAGAATCTACAGATATAAAGATAATTGCAGATAATGGGGATAATGGGAGTTACTGAAGATATTGGAGATAAGGGAGATAATGATAGATACATGGACATCCATAAAGATATTATATTCATAACACTCCCCCTTGGATGTCCATAACTAAATATGTGCCTCGTTAAAAAACTTCTACTAAGAAAACCCTGTGGGACAAAACTTAGTAAAAGAAAAAGAGTGCAACATTTATTGATATATATTTCATAGTGCTGCCTCGTTAAAAACCTTGCCAGGAAAACCCAATGGGAAAAACCATAGACAAGGAAAAAAGAGTACAGCATACATTTACTCCCCCTCTTGACAATGTCAGTTGATATCTCTGAGTCTACGAAGTCCAATGTCATGAACAAGTCTCTCGAACGTGGTGGCTGGAAGTGATTTGGTGAATAGGTCTGCTAAATTTTCGCTGGAACGAATTTGTTGGATATTGACTTCACCATCCTTTTGAAGATCACGAGTGAAGAAGAATTTTGGGGAGATATGCTTTGTTCTGTCTCCTTTGATATACCCTTCTTTTAGTTGGGTAATACATGCAGTATTATCTTCGTACAGTATTGTTGGGATCATTTTACCAGAAGACAAGCCACAAGTAGTTCGTATGTGATGTATTAAGGACCTTAACCATACACATTCTCGACTTGTTTCATGCATTGCTAGAATCTCCGCATGGTTAGATGATGTGGCTGATATAGTTTGTTTCATAGATCGCCATGAAATGGCTGTACCGCCACATGTGAATACATAGCCAGTTTGTGATTTACCAACATGTGGGTCAGACTGAAATCCAGCATCTGCATAGCCAACAAGATCGGTCTTGGATGCATTCGAATAAAATAATCCCATATCCATTGTACCCTTAAGATAACGAAGGATATGTTTAACTCCATTCCAATGCCTTCGTGTTGGTGAAGAACTATATCTTGCTAGTAAGTTGACTGCAAATGATATATCAGGTCGTGTATGATTAGCAAGATACATTAGTGCTCCAATTGCACTAAGATATGGTACTTCTGGACCAAGTAGCTCTTCATCACCTTTTTCCCCGATTTCTCGAGGTCTAAAAGGGTCCTTATCCACCTCCAAAAATCTTACAACCATTGGAGTACATAATGGATGTGATTTATCCATATAAAAACGTTCTAGGATCCTTTTTGTATAAGTTTCTTGATATACAAAAATTCCATTTTTCAAATACTCAATTTGTAATCCAAGGCAAAATTTTGTTCTTCCTAGATCCTTTATTTCAAATTCTTTCTTTAGGCAATTCACTGCCTTTTCAAGCTCTTCAGGAGTTCCAATAATATTTATATCATCAACATACACAGCGATTATAACGAACTCATTTCCTGATCTTTTCATAAAAATACATGGGCATATTGCATCATTTTTATATCCTTCCCTCAATAGATACTCACTAAGCCTGTTATACCACATTCGCCCTGATTGCTTTAATCCATATAGGGATTTGTTTAACTTAATTGAGTATCGTTCTCGAGAGTTTGAATTGTGTGCTTCTGGCAATTTCAGCCCTTCAGGGAGTCTCATATAAATGTCATTGTCAAGTGAGCCATACAGATAGGCTGTAACAACATCCATTAGATGTAAATTGAGCCCTTTATTTACTGCGAGGCTAATCAAGTATCGAAAAGTAGTTGTATCCACTACTGGTGAATAAGTTTCTTCAAAATCGATACCAGGTCTTTGTGTAAATCCTTGAGCAACGAGTCGTGCTTTGTATCTTATGATTTCACCCTTTTCATTTCTCTTTCGCACAAAAACCCATTTATATCCAACCGGTTTTACATCTTCAGGTGTAAGGACTACTGGTCCAAAAACTTTTCGCTGTTCTAGCGATTTTAATTCTGCCTCAATTGCATTTTTCCATTTTGGCCAATCCTTTCTTTGTTTACATTCACTAATTGACTTTGGCTCATGATCCTCATTATCATTCATCACATCGAGCGCTACATTATAAGAGAAAATATCATCAACGTCGACTTCACTTCGGTCCCATCGTATCCCATTCATAACATAATTAATTGAGATCTCATCATTTTCACATATTTCAGGTACCTGACTTTCACTGAGAATTGGGACGTTAGCGTTGTCTGATGACTCTTCTGGAGTTGCTAACTTTTCTAAATTATTCTCGACTAGGCCATCTATACTTTTAACTCCTTTTTTCTTTCGAGGATTTTTATCTTTGGAGCCGATGGGCCTGCCACGCTTCATGCGTGCTTTAGAATCATTCACAATTGGTTGTCCATCAGGGACATCAATTTTAATAGGAGCATTAACAGCTGGAATATGTGATTTTGTTACTCTCTTCGGGTCAGTAAATGCATCTGGTAATTGATTTGCTAAACTTTGTAAATTGACTATCTTTTGAACTTCCAGTTCACATTCTTTTGTGCGAGGATCAAGATGAGACAGTGATAATTCTTTCCAGCTAATGTCCTTTTCCAACTTCTTATTTTCTCCCCTCATTGTTGGAAAAACTGACTCATCAAAATGACAATCGGCAAATCGAGCTGTGAACAAATCTCCTGTTGAGGGTTCTAGATATTTTATTATAGTGGGAGATTCATATCCAATATATATTCCCATCCTTCTTTGAGGCCCCATCTTGGTACGTTGTGGGGGAGCAATTGGAACATGTACAGCACATCCAAAGGTTCTTAGATGGGAAATATTTGGTTCATGACCAAAAACCACTTGTAAAGGGGAGGACTTGAGATAACTTGTTGGCCTGATGCGAATTAACACTGCTGCATGCAAAATTGCATGTCCCCAAGCAGAAATTGGGAGATTTGATCTCATAAGTAATGGTCTTGCAATTAATTGTAAACGTTTGATTAATGATTCTGCAAGTCCATTTTGTGTGTGCACATGAGCCACAGGATGTTCAACATCAATCCCAAGAGACATACAATAATCATTGAAAGCTTGTGAAGTAAATTCACCAGCATTATCAAGACGTATTTTCTTGATAGGAAAATCAGGGAAATGTGCTCTTAATCTAATTAATTGAGCCAATAATCTTGCGAACGCCAGGTTACGCGAAGATAATAAACAGACATGCGACCATCTTGTTGATGCATCAATTAGAACCATAAAATATCTAAATGGTCCGCATGCTGGATGTATCGGTCCACAAATATCTCCCTGTATGCGTTCTAGAAAAGTGAGAGGCTCACTTTTTAGTTTTCCTGGTGATGGCCGAACAATTAACTTTCCCTTGGAACATGCATTACATGAGAAAACATTGGATTGTGGTATTTGTTGACTTTTCAATGAATGTCCACATGAATTCTCAATTATTTTTCGCATCATAATTGTCCCGGGATGGCCTAACCGGTCATGCCAAACATTAAATTTGTTATCATTTACAAACTTCTGGTTTATAATGATGTGTACTTCAATTGTACTAATAATTGTATAGTACAAGCCAGAAGAAAATGCAGGCAATCTTTCTAGTGTGCATTTTTTACCTGAGGTTGACTTTGTAATAGCAAGATATTCTTGATTTTCCTCAATTGTTGTTTCGATATGGTATCCATTCTTGCGGATATCCTTAAAACTCAACAAATTTCTTTTAGACTTAGTTGAGTAAAATGCACTATCAATGTATAATATTGTTCCTCCAGGTAACAATATATTGGCTCTTCCGGAGCCTTCAATCAGTTTTGCACTTCCAGATATAGTCTGAACGTTGGCTTCTTGCATTACCAAAGAAGAGAAATACTTTTTAT